TCGTTCACGATGTCGATGTCGTCCAAACTCTCCCTGATTAGACTGCACAATCACCATTACGGCCTATGATATTCGCACAAGGAGGCAGACCGTCTATCCCCTTCACCGGAAAGAGGAGTGAACCAGGACTAGCGTTTTGAGACCACCAAAAAGGATTAGGGACAAATGTAGATTGAAAGTGTAGAGATAGGAGGCCTACGGTTGCACTTAGGACAAACGTAAAAAATGAAGGGCGAAGGTCTGCATCGCACTGAACGTGAGCGGAATGGAAAAGGGATAGAGTTTTCAGAAGCATTCTACACAGAATCGTGAAGGATCATCGCTCAAAAAACCTTCACACGATCGAAAAGTCATCTTGTAAGGGAGCCGATTAAAGGGAAGGAAAGGATGGTTCATTGCAGCTGCAACGCTATTTTCGAAGAAATTGTCATAGAGAACTCCTGTACACCCATATACATAGTGATTGCGAAAATGCGCACGACGATTTGCATAGTCTACAGAAGACAATGGGGAAAGTCTGTGGTCAACACGACGCATCTCGACGCTTCCGAGTTTGAGAGGAAATAGGAGGCAAAGAAGTTCAGCTTAAACGCATTTTTAAGATATGAGATTAGTGTCGAACACATTTCCAAAGTTCGTTTGGTTCATTAGGATAAGATCGTTTCCAGCGATGTATTGTATGTGCCCTCATAATTTTGGCCTACCCCGTACTTGCCCCCTTAGGCACGAACAGTCCATTGAACTTCCTCAAGTTTTTTTAAGTTTTCTCATTCTCCAAACATAAACATTTTCTCGAACCTCACAAATCCTATTTGGAGAGAATTTGTTTATCCTAGTATTCGGATAATACCAGCTATAGCATAGAACGAAAGATTATGGATTTTCTGTGGGTATTGTAATTTTGCGGCGCTTAATTTCAGAGTGCTTCCGTAACCAGTTAAATCTGACCCAATCACTTTTACTCAGCTTGTAACATATCCTTAACTAAGAATCTGCCCTCGCGTGCATTTGTGGACCCACCACCACTATATTGTATGTACTAAAAACTCGAAAGGAAGTATAGATGAAAATGTAAGATCAACTTTTCGTCTCCATTTGAGCTTTGAAAATGTTCATAAACGAAACACAACCACACGACTGCAAAGCATGGTACAAAACAAATTTTCAGTTTTGAATCTTGTTTTCAAATCGTTTCAGTTATGACTTACTATGATTCAGCTATCCTCGTGATGGATGAGAGTGCGGAATGTCATACATATAGCCGGAGTGAAGAAATGACACACGAAGCCGATCTGGACAAATTACTGCATGTCGAAAAGGCACCAGAGCCTGATCAACAGCGATCACTTGCAAAAGGATGGAAGTATTAAGCCTTTGGACTCTCATCAATTCCGCTTAAGGAATGCACCCCGCCTGCAATTCCATTCAGAATCGTAGTGTGGTAATGAATACATATATGGAGCCTATACAATGGCTTGCGGCGGCCAGTCGATGTACAAATCAGTGCATTCAACTTTTCAGACGAGCCTGGTCCCAATAAGCCGATCCTAGAGGGACGGAAAACTTGGTTGGCCTAGGCGAACACCAATCCGGAATTTGAACTCGTGACCATGCGTGTGAGATAGCGCGCCGCTTGCTACTATACCACCTCTGCCCCGCAAAATGCTACGTATCGAGACCCCAGGTGATAAGGTGTGAAACGTGCACGAATGCCACCTGTTTTTGCTGAAAGATGCAACTGGACTAGACGGACTATCTGTTTCTGTCATTTGGATCATTTATCTCCCTGATCTGATCTATTCACCACCCAAATGTCATGCATGTGGGGTTTGCATCTTTCATGCAGGCTCAGCCAAAAGCTTACATTTGAGCGAATGGGAAACGCTTGGGAGCTGGTCGGTGCTCTGATAAGAAGCCCTTGCCATCTCTGAGATATAGTAGCAGGTTTGAAGGGCTTAGCCGTTTGTATTATTTTTTCGCGTCCGAACGTATATACACCAGTGCTGCAGCATCGGGCACGTTTTAGTCGTGAATTTTCTACAGCTGATCTCTTTAGCGCTTCATTAATTGATTCTTCCAGCTTCTGGCCGGCAAATGAGCTTAACATGCCTTTCACTACTTCCAGCCTGCTTCTTCTGCAAACAGATCTGTAGCAAGTTTGTCATTTCCTATGATAACTAAGCAACATGGGTTTCCTTTCGAGCTTTACAGCTGTTATCGGGAGCAAGCAATATGATTCTCGTAGGATTATACGAAAAGACTAGGTGTTTTTTTTACACGACGAGAATTTGCATTCTCAGTTCATCTACGCCAGTACGTTAGCGAACGAGTGCATACGTTAGACTTGCCTTTACTTTTAAGAGGTTCCCTTCATTTATGTGTACGTATAGAATCCTTACTATATATAATCCACAAGTTTGGTGTGTGTTTGTATGTATGTATGTATGTACGTATGTATGTATGTATGTATGTATGTATGTATGTATGTATGTATGTATGT